ACTTTAGGAGATGTATTATAGAGGCATTCAACCATGGAATTTTATTTTTCAGGACTGGAACTTTACAAGTTGAAATATATTTTTCCGGTTTTGTCTCCAAGCTATAGGTAAATCTAGCTTAAAATATCAAGAAGTAAGCTAGAAGCTAAAAGTATCAAAATTCGCTCTAAAAGTAAAAAGTAATCACTGGCTAGCCGAAAGCTAAATATTAAAAAGCTAATAATAAATGCAAACTGAAACTAATCAAAGCAGCAAAAGGCTAGCTAAAAGGTAAAAGTAATCGCTGGCTAGCTAAAAACTAAATGCATCATGTCATGGCTGGCTGAAAGTAACTGAAAGCAGCAAAAGGCTAGCTAAAAGTATCTAAAGCCTGGCTAGCTAAAAGCCAAGAGAAAAGGCTAGCTGAAAGTTTCAAAAAGTAAGCTAGAAGATAATAGTAACAAAGGCTACCTTAAAGTAAAAATTAATCATCGTAGGATAGTTAAATGTAATCAAAAGGCTAGCTAGAAATCAAAGCAGCAAGAGGCTAGCTAAAAGCAAATCTAGCTGAAAGTATTAAAACATAASCTAGACGTGAAATGTAGCGTAAAGGCTACATAAAATTAAAAAGTGATCACTGGCTAGTAAGCTGGAAGCTAAAAAGCTAAATATAGTAAGACTAGCTAGAAGCTACAAATAAATAAAGACCAGCTGAAAGTATTCAAAAGCAGCAAAAGGCTAGCTGATAGCTAGAAGTAAAGCTAATGGAAAGTATCAAAAAGTAAGCTAGGAGCTACAAGTAGAAAAAGGCTACGTAAAAGTTAATAGTAATAATTAAAAGCTAACCATAGCACGACTAGCTACAAGCTACAAATAAATATAAACCAGCTGAAACTAATCAAAAGCAGAAAAATGCTAGCCTTAACTAAAAGTAGCAAAAGGCTAACTAAAAGTAACCACTGCTAGTAAGCTAGAAGCTAAAAGGCTACCTTGAAATAAAGGCCAATGGAAAGTAATCAAAAGCAGCAAAATGCTAGCTAACAGCTTAAAGTAAAATTAGCTAAAAGAATCAAAAAGTAAGCTATAAGCTAAGAGTAACAGAAGGCTAACTAAAAATAAAAAATAATCAAACCACGACCACAGCTGAAGGTTGGAACCTCAGAGAGAAAAAACAAAACAATAAAGTGAAAAAAAGGTACAAAAAACAAATTAACCATTTAAAGACCTCAAAAGCAGCCAAAAACTACACCAAATATTCATGGAAACGACCACAAAACACAAAATAAAGAAAATAACCACAAAGGGATGAAAATTACCCAGAAAGATGTTTAGGATAATAAAATCCGAGATGTAAAACAGCTAAAAAGAAAAACAAAAAAGATGCAAGAATCTAAAAATAAATACATATTTCTGTAGCAAACAAAGAGAAACTCCCACAAACACGACCCAACAAACAGAAAATGAAAGAAAACACTCGTCTTTGGGAGGTTTTAAAATACGTGAGCCTCACCTGGACGCTGGTGAGGTGCAGGTACATCACACAGGCCACGTGGAAACACACACACAGCACCAGCAGCAGCAGCACCAGCACCCCCCTGACAACAGGAACACAGGGTCAGAGGCTCCGCCCCCACAGCTGAGGGTCAATGATGGGTCCTAATAAGGACAGAAAACCAGGTGTGTGTGTGAGGACGCACTGTGGGATCATCAGCAGGTAAATCAGACCGAACAGAGCAGCCAGGATCAGCGACAGAACCACGGCGCTGATGAAGTGGTCGTCGGTCACCTGGTGATACTGAGAGGAGACAACAGCTGTCAATCAAATCATTTAGCTGTCAACTAAATCAATTAGCTGTCAATTAAATCAATTAGCTGTCAATTAAATCAATTAGCTGTCAATCACGACAGGTGTGGGAGCAGCCGCGTCATCAACCGCGTGACGAGTCACGAGGCGTCGTTTCCCCCGAGCGTAACGAGGACACGGTGGATCCGAGTCGGTCCGGCGGTCTCTCTGAGGGGTTCGGACTCACCCGGCGCTCCCGGTCCCCGCTCCTGTAGAACAGCGTGAGGAAGTTGAGGTCCGAGGTCCCGGACTCGGTCTGCCGGGCTTCGATGAGACGCCCGATGTAGCGGTTGACCCGCGTGGCCGGCGAGTGCTGCACGGCGGTGGCCGAGAAGGACGTCCGGCTTCTCAGCTTCTCCGAGGCGGTCCGCAGGGCTCGTCGCTGTCAGAGGCAAAACAAACAAACAAACAAACAAACAAACAAACAAACAAACAAACAAACAAACAAACAGCTTAAAAACAGAGCATCAAGATAAATTAAAAAACATTTTAACAGAACACGACCAAAGGAGTTGAAACTGTAAAACTTAAAACAAGACGAACACAAGCTAAAAATAACAGAACTGTGGCTAAAGGTTAGGATTAGCAAAACTGTTGCTACAAAATTAGCAAAACTACAACTAAAAGTAAAAAAATGTAAAATAGTTTACAAGAGCTAAAATGAACAAAGCTATTGTTTAAGCTAAGACTAGCAAAACTGTAACTAAAAGTTAAAAAGCTAAACTGTAACTAAAAGTTAAAAAGCTAAACTGTAACTAAAAGTTAAAATTAGCAGAACCACTGCTTAATGCTAAAATAGCAAAACCATAGCTAAAGAACAAAAAATGCTAAACCACAGCTAAATGTTATAATAGCAAAACTAAACCTTTAAATGAGCAAAATCATATCTTAATGCTAAAATTAGCAAAACTAGAACTAAAAGTAAAAAAGTACAATTGTACTAGCTAAACGAGCTAAAATGAACAAAACTATTGTTTATGCTAAAATTAGCTAAACTGTAACTAAAAGTTAAAAAAGCTAAATTGTACCTAAGAGCTAAGATTAGCAAACCCTAATTTAATCGCTAAAATTAGCAGAACCACTGCCTAATGCTAAAACAGCAAAACCATAGATAAAAAAATAAAATTGCTAAACCACAGCTAAATGTTATAATAGCAAAACTAAACCTTTAAATGAGCAAAATCATATCTTAATGCTAAAATTAGCAAAACTAGAACTAAAAGTAAAAAAGTACAATCGTACTAGCTAAACGAGCTAAAATGAACAAAACTATTGTTTATGCTAAAACTAGCTAAACTGCAACTAAAAGTTAAAAAAGCTAAATTGTACGTAAGAGCTAAAATTAGCAAAACCATAGCTAAAGAACAAAAATTGCTAAACCACAGCTAAATGTTATAATAGCAAAACTAAACCTTTAAATGAGCAAAATCATAGCTTAATGCTATAATTAGCAAAACTGTAACTAAAGGTTATAAAAGCTAAATTGTACCTAAAGCTAAAATTAGCAAAACTAAAGCAAAAAGTTAAAAAGCTAAGTCATACCTTAAAGTTCAAATTAGCAAAACCGTAGCTAAAGTACATAAATTGCAAAACCACAGCTAAATGTTATAATAGCAAAACTAAACCTTTAAATGAGCAAAATCATAGTTTAATGCTACAATTAGCAAAACTAGAACTAAAAGTAAAAGCTAACAAGTATCTAAGAGCTAAAATTAGCAAAACTTAGTTTTATTGCTAAACTTAGCAGAACCATTGCTTAATGCTAAAATAGCAAAACCAAAGCTAAATAATAAAAAATGCAAAATCATAGCAAAAAACTGAAACAGGCAAAACAGTAGCTGAAAGTACAAAGTACAAAAGTGTAAAAAGCAAAATCATAACAAAAAGTGAACATTAGTAAAACAGTAGCAGAAAGCAAGAACCAAGAATTATCAACTCAACAGCTAAAGTTATATATTAGCAAAGTTGTAGTTTAATGTTAAAAACAGCAAAGTTATAGCTAAAAGATAAAGTAAGCAAAGCTGTACCTTAAAGCTAAAAGGGCAAAGCTGTACMGATAAGGAGAAAAAAACTGAGTAAGTCTTAAAAAAACAGTTTTCAAATGAATTTTAAAATAAACATAAAAGATAATTTTAATGTTTGAAAAAGAAGAAATAAATTTTCGAAATGTTAAGAACTTAAGTTTTTATACTTTTTTAAATTAGTTTCATTAAAAAACAAACTATATACAATAGAAAACAAAGAAAATGCACAAATCAAAAATCCAATCATAAAATGAAAATGAAAGGTAGAAGAAGAATAAATCTTATAATGTCTTTTATCCCCAGAATAGATTAAAACAAAAAATAATTAAAAAATAATACTAAATATTTTTAACACGGTTCATAAAAAGATAATTTTCTGCACATTCCAGCCTCGTTATTCCATTAGGAGCTCTTCACGGCGCTCAGATTTCGGCCTCTTGGATAATTGAGTGACAATAATGACATTAGAGGAGATGACAGCGGGCTGTGGGCCGCCTCGTCAGAACCACGGGGTCCTGACGCCTGACCGGGCTCACAGCTGGGAGGATCACAGCCAGCAGGCTTCCTCTGACAGCCAGACGCTGTGATGTCATGACCCYGATAAACGAGAGGCCAAACAAACGCGTGTGACCCGCTGTATCAGTGCTCTGAAAGCTACTGTGAAACAAAACAAATAAAATCAACAGAGAGCTTCTCTCTGACAACTTTCTGCATGTTTAAGAAGGAAGACTCAGCTGCAGGCGCCGCTCACCTTGTCGTCGTCCTCGCAGGTCATGACGTTGGAAAAGGGGATCTCAGCCTTAAACATCTTCCTGCAGTGCATCAGCTGCACCAGGAGGTAGCAAACCGTCTTGAACTTCATCCTCTTGGCCGGTTTGATGTCAGACAGGATGATGCCAGGAAAGATCTGCCAAACAAAAACAAAAAGTGACGTAAAATCACGAAGAGTTGACACTTTGTATTAATTTATATCTTCTAAAGATGTAATGCTACAGGTTAATTGTGTTTTTATCATTTCAAGCTGTTTTTGTTTGTGTTTCTTTGACTGTCATGAACCAGTGGATCTACTTTATTGGCACTTTCAAAACAATCATAGGACGGACCCAGAAGTGGACATGCTTCCACTAATCTGCTAACAGCAGAACAAATTTTTTGTTTAATGGATTAGCTTTTACACTAATTTYGAAAATCATTAGCGGAACGATTAGCTTCCGCTAAACTAGAATTTGCCAACTACAAGTTATCAAACAGCTAACTAGCACAGGTATAATAGGGTAGGAAGCTATCAGCTAACAGTTAACATCTAATAGCRAAACTAGTTTTTTGTTTAGCTGATAAGTGTTTCAATAACTGTTAGCAGACGGCTAAATTAGGTTTTGCCAACTTTAAATCTGCTAATAGCTAATTAACACAGGTACAAATACATAGGTAGGTATCAGCTAACRGTTAGCAGCTAATAGCAGGACAAATCTTTTGTTTATTGGATTAGCTTTTACACTAATTTTGAAAATCGTTAGCAGACTGATTAGCTCCCGCTAAATTAGGATTTGCCAACTATGAGTTTGCTAACCGCTAACTAGCACAGGTATAAATAGGTAGGTAAGGACAAGCTAACAGCTAATAGCAGAATTCATTTTTCATTTAGCCGATAAGCATTTTCACCTAATTTGAAAACTGTTAGCAGACTGCTAATAGCTAATAGCAGAGCTAACTTTCAGCTAATAGTAAATCTTTCTTTTTTTTTGCTTGTGGATTATTATTTTTTAATTACTTTAAAAATATTTAGTGGACTAATTARCTTTGGCTAAATTAGGCAGT